TTGAACATAATTTAAACTAGAAGGACTACCCTTTTATATCCGAACTTAGTGAGATTAGTGAAGAATTATTTAACATCTGATTCTGAAAACTCAGAATAACTTTGAAATATATGCATGTAGAATGAGAAAGAGAATTCAATTAAAACTAAATTGAGTTTTATAAACAAAGAAATCAACGGACGAATAACATAAAATGTATATTTTAACACTGTTTTAAAACATGAAAAAGAATATATATTAATTTATGTTTTTGCATGTTATTTTAATACTTGTGATTCCCATCCTGAATAAATTAATATAAAAGTCGAGATCCATGGCCTTAGGGACCACTCCGTCCTTTTATAAGTTCTAACTTCTAAGTATGATCGATCGATTGTGATATTAAATAAGTCGTGGCACTCAAAACGTTACTAAGAGAAGTGTTGATTTTGGAATAAATACTATCATCTAATACGATATTATTCTAAAAGCATGAATAATTAATTTTTATAATAATTAATAAAAATGTAATACAATTAATTAATACATAAAAATGTATATTAACAATGCATTAAAATTGAATTCATATTGTTTTCTTATTGTATTAAATTTCAGCCATTATTTTTAAAAAAGAATTTTAAAAATTATCTTAAATGAGTGTATTTTTAGAAATTAATATTCTCTCTCTTCTTATACCATAACTTCTTCAGTATTGAAATCTTAATTGAATCTCTTAATTTGAATTTTAAGCTCTCTCTATTTTAAAACTTACACCTCCACCCCCACCCATTCTTAAAATACACACACATATATATATATAAATCATTTTAGTCTAGTTTTAATATTGTGTTTAGTTAATGGTTGTTATCTTTTGCATTAAAATTTATCTGTATTATTTAATCATTCTAATTTTTTTCTAGTATTTTATAAATCTCTTACAATTAAGCGCATGTTATAATAAAAGTTTGGAGTGATCAATTATTTTTATATCTATAAAATAATTAAAATTATTTAAACTACTTATTATCAAGAAGGGATATTTATTAAAAAAATATTTTAAAATACCTATGAAATCATTCGAGAGCGCGTGAATATATTTGAGCATTTTAATTATTTTAATGATATCGTTAGTTAATTTTATTACTTATTTTCTTATACTACTATAATATTTTTTAAACAATGTTCACCGTTTAAGTATTTGATAAGTTTTAATTTTTTATTACAACAAGTTTTAATTATAAAATATAAATTAAGGATAGGAGTTTTTGTGATGCTTAAAAAACAGAATTTTTTGTGCAATGAGTCCAAACTTAAATCGAGGACACGTTTAGTCGTTTATCACTTTCATACAAAAGATAATAGTTGCAATTGACTAATAATTTCCTTAAATACAACATTAAAATTTGGATTAAATGTAATATATCTTTAAAATAAAATAAAAATATGTCTGTTTTAAACATAAAGAGATTTTTATTTTTTATTTTTTATTTTTTGTAATCAACGTAAAATAGAAGAAAGATTGGGCTTTAGAGTAATTTACTCCTTTTAAATTTTGACATTACACAACACATTAATATACGCAGACATAATATATCTTAACTTGAATACTTTATTTTTGTAATTTTATTCATCATTTTAAAATTTTTTCTATCTTTTTATCTAACAAAATAAATTCTTCATTATTAACCTTAAATATATCTCATATACTTTTTTTTTTCAAAATACATAATACATAATACGCTATAATTTTAAATTTTAAATTTTAACTCAATCAAAAAAATTCTTGAGGTACTTGTTCTAAATTTAAGGAAGAAACTAAAAGATTTTTAAGTCAAATTATCAAGAAATATAGATTAAAAGTGAAGCAGAAGTGTACATAAGTTCATGAAAGATAATTCAAAAAAAAATTCTTAAATATTTAATTTTCTAAGTCCTTATACACAATTATCTTTATTTTATCAATGATGAGATATTAGAATAAGAAAATATGCATTTACTGAAAAATCATAAGTCTTTATTTATAATAGACAAATATATAGTTTTTCAAGAATAACTATATTTTTGAATATTATAAAAATTAAAAATTATTAAAAAATATATTTGTAATTTATCACGTTATCAAAGTTAAAATAAATTTAATAGCAAAAAAAAAGAGTTAAAATTAATTTTATGATATAAAATTCACACTAAGTAAAATATTATAAATCTAAACAAATTTATCCTTCTAAATTTACTTTAAGAGGATAAAAACTTTATACACATAATTAATAATATATGTAGGGTCATGTATTAAAAAATATCTAACATTACTGGAATGCTTTAAATTTATTAGTAAATATAAAAAAATTTATTTAATAAATAAATATTTGATGCATATTTAAAATAGAATGTTTTGTAAAAATATATAATATTGTCTTTTAAAAAATAGCATGCATCCTTAAAATTTGTAATACAAAATAAATGAATATTTTTACAAAAGAAGTTATAGGGAGTTGAGTCTTAGAATTTATATTTGTTTAAAATATATCGGTTCTTTTTTAGAGTTTAAAGAAAAAGAAAATAAAAAAATTAAATATTTTATTTTAATATTTAACATTGAGTTATTATTTTATATTTTTTATTTATATATTTTTTTCTATTTTATTTTTAAAAAAAATAAAATTAAATATTTTTCTCTTTAAAATTTAATATTTTTAAATTTTAAATTTATATTTTTATAATTTTTTAAAAAAATTCTCACTCTAAAACTAACATTTTTAATAAAAATATTTTTTTATTATTTTAACTCTAAAACATACTAATTATTTAATTTAACAAATAAAAATATAAATAATAAGTTTTACTACATGAATCACTAAAAATTTTTAAAATGAAAAACTTAAAAATAAAAAATATACAATTAAGAAGGTTTTAGAAGTTTAAAAGAACTCTCTAACTCTTTCCCTCATATTTAATTAACTTCTAAATTAAGATTAGTGATCACTAACTCTTTATTTCTCTTTATTTTTCTTTTATTTATTTTTGTTCGACCAGTGAGTAATTGACATTTAAGAAAAAATTCAGATAAAATATTAAAATTAATTAAAGTAGGAATTTGAAGAAAAATTTAACATAAGAAACAGAAATAATTAATATTTTTATAATTTTAACTAAATATTAAATAGTAGTAAAATTGCATGTCCTAAACATATTATAACAAAAGATTTTATCTTAAAGAAAGATTACTGAAGTTGATATAATTTGTCACATTTTAAACCTAAAATAAAATATGATATGATCTGTACTTAAACCAAAAATACTCCTCAAACCACCCTCCCAACAAGAACAAGAAAATAAAAGAAAATGACTCACAAGCAATCGGGTTAGGAGCACCAAACTTGTCCAAAAGTCCAAACTCCGCCAAAGACCAAACATGAGCAGATTCAGATGGCCACATGCAACTTGCATTCTGTCATATTAACAAGCAACATTTTTGTCCCGCCACGCGCCTCATCATCGTGTAATCAACACTCTCCTCATTTAAAACTTAAGCCAATATCAAGTAATTTTTATTATTATTCGAGAATCAATATCATTTATTTTATAATTTTACTTTGCTTTAATATTATATTTTTCGTCAACTTACAAATATATAATTTCAAATAAATAAATATTTAAATACAGAATCACTCATATCTTGGGTGTTTTTAGAAATATTTATATTTTTTTTATATCATTGTATACCAATTATCTTAATTATATAAAATATTAGTGATTATTTGGTGTATGTACAGTTTTTTCAAATTTAAATTTTTGCATATTAAAAAAGTAAATTTAAAATGCATACCGTACATAATTCTTTAAAAATTAACAAAAAGTAAAATTGAAAAAGGATTATGTTAAATAAAAAAAGAACATAATCACAAAATAAATACAAATAAATAATTAAATATTAATTATGTTTTAACAAAGAGTATAAGACAAAGTTAAACACCATCAAAACATGATAACTTTATTTTCACATTAAAAAAGAGAAATTAATGACAGCATGCCATCTTTCCAAAACATAATAAAATGAAATATTAAATTACTTTTGATAAAAGCTATTCAAATTTTACAAACCGATATTTTTATAAACTAACAAATAGATAAATAAATTTATAGTTTAATATTATGATAAACATATAAATTCATTATATCTGGCAATGTATAAAAACTCCATATTTTTATTTGATTAAATAATTTTATATTATTTAATGAAATTGTCATATTTAGATTTATTAGCATAATCACAAATTTGGAATTATGTTGATTATACTGTTATTTCAATTTTTTCTTCAAGTATTTATTTTATTATTTTAAAATTTTAGATATCCAATTTAACTAAAACATAATTTTAACATTAACATTGTATTAAAATTAAATGTGTATTCTGGTTTCCGGAAAGTTCCAAAGCGGTCGTTTTGACTGAAGTTTGCCTCTCTTAACTTTTGTAGGCCTTCATCCTTTCTTGCATATTCCTACTTTTTTATTTGCTTATTTAGAAAGGAACAATTTTATCCTTATTTTATACGTTATTCTTTTAAAATAAACTACATAAAAAATAATGACGGCTATTGAGTATTATTAATTATTCAAAAAGATAAATATTGTACAATTAATTTTATAGTTTTAATCCAACAAAAATAATGTTATAATATTTTATATTTTTAGAATATTAATTAATACAATTTCATTATTTAAATCACTAAAAATTAATACTACATATTATTATTATTATTATATATCCAAAAATTTTCTTACGTAAGAACGAAACACCGTTAAATATCGACTCTAGTAATCCACAAAATATCCTATTGGCTTTCATTAACCGGTCTTGTTTTTGTATAAAGCGTGATTTGGTTTATAATTAAATTCAATGATTTAATAACATTAAATACTATAATTTAATAAAAAAATATTATTCATTAATTTCTTTCTCGAATACACGTTAAGAAAAGTAATAACGTTTGCTATATATCTAATAGCATTTTTAATTCCTTAAGCAAGGTAGGGTAGCGGTTTGGAGGAGCCTTTCTGTTTTCCTAAATCTAATGATTATCATTAATGGGTGGCATTTTGTACAAAGCGTAATTTCGTTGGGCTTCTGAAATGGAAACCCAAACAAATTATAAATATACTTATCTCAAATGAAGTACGCTAGCTGCCAATTTCACTGTTCTTTGTATTGCAAGTTATCGCGATCTGTCACACACCTCTGCACCCATAGCAACCTCTTCTTTTCCTTTTGCTTCTCTTTGAGTTCGCCGTGTCGTTTTCAATTTCGCCTGCAACATACAAAATAATGTCCGCGCAAGACAAAACGACGTCCAAGAATGAAGCGTTTGACGCCGACGCTGCTTCGATGCTCGTGAAGGAGATGAAGGGAACCTTCGCTTCCGGCAAAACACGCAATTACGAATGGAGGGTGTCGCAGCTCAACGCACTAGCCAAACTCGCTGACGATCACGAGCAACAGATCGTTGACGCTCTCCTAAACGACCTCGCCAAGCCACCACTCGAAACTGTCGCATACGAGGTCGCTCCCTTCCGCTCTGCGTTTTCTTCTTCCTCTGTCATTTATTGATTTTCAGTTTAGAGTGTTTATTTTTTTTGTTTTATTTTTGGTGTGTGTGTTTGACCTCAGTGATTACAATATTCGGAAAATCGTTCGCAGGTGGATTTTGTTGTGATGGAGATTGGGAAATTCTGAAAATAGAGATTTTGTGCGGTTCATTTATTACTGGGTCCAATTTTGCGGGACAAAGTGATGTGTGTGTCATCTCTAAAATTCTGAGCGACGCTTGTTCTTTGCCCAGTGTTGACTTGTTTTGTTGTAGTATTGTGGCTGTTTTCGGGATGTATAAAACTCAGTTCGTGCTGTTTAGTTCATTTGAGTTTTACATGATAATTTACGATAACGTTAAATATAAATAATTTATTAAAATTAAATTCAGATTTTAATACATGATGAAGAATATTAGAATAGTACGCAAGTTTTTTTTTTTTTTTTTTTTTTTTTTGTTGAGGGGGATTAGTAGGACATATCTCTCTGTGCATTGCTGTTCGCGTTTCATTGCCTGTGGTAGGGGAAACGATGCCGTTTGGTGGCTGTTGGTTTGGTGTGAGCATTAATGGCGCTCTTCCCACATTAGGGTGGGCCAATGTTGTGTTGTGGTCCTCATAAATTTGCCTGTGAATCTCTTTTTGGTGGCTTTGGTTCTTTAATTCATGAATTTAGTTAAAATTAGCCTTATTAATTTTTTTTTATATTGAAAAAGTAAATTTATTGTTGAAAATTTGTTAACAAGTGCCTTAAAATACTGGTTAAGAAATAAAAATTGAAAAAAATTTATTGAAGAGTTTGTTGCTACACTCCCCTCATGATTTTAATAAGATTTTTTTATTGATTGATTTCTTAATTAGTGTCTTTAGGATATTGATCAACAACCTTCAACTTTTAAGGATTGATGTTAATAAAACTGTTAATTTATTGGCGGTGTCTTGAACTCGAGGGTGATTAAAGCTTAAATCACTGTCACGAGATTTGTTGTTGCAGTACACCTCGTCCTGGGTGTTTGTGATCTGTTATTTAGGTGTTTGTGCTTTAAGTGTGTGGTTTCCTTTTTATTGCACTTTCATTCTTTCATGCGATTGACAAATAGGATTTCGTTTAGGTGTTGGATGCCACTGGCTAATATAGTAGTTTATAATGAAGTTACTATATGACACATGCCCACCTAATATGGCACTATCCAAGGACAATTTATTCACACATTCTGTGCTTGTTTAAACAGAAACATATGACCAAATTAAGGTTAGCTAAATTGGAAAGTTTTTGCTACCAATTAGCTTCTTGCTGTATTTAACTGTTATGTTTTTATAGTAATGCCAAGTGTACAGCTGGCAGTTCATAATTGCCTCACTCAAAATTGCAAGAATAATTTTCATTAAGTTTATGCATATTGAATTGGTTATAACTTATTTCGTATTTGAAATTTTTGGTATCTTAGCCTGCTCAGCCCTTATTGTTTCTCCAAACTTCTCCACTCATTTTTTGGATGGTGTTGAAGTTTATAAGATTTCATTATGTTGATACGTCTGTTTAAGGATTTGATGGTAAACTAATTTGGAAAAGACACTAACTCTATTTCAACTAAAATACTGAAAACTCTGTTACAGATTAACTTAAGATGTATTATTTGCTACCAAACGAACATTCAGAGCTTTTAATAAGGCCACTAAGCTGAAAATGTGAAATAAAAACCTAAATCCTTGACTATTGCTTATTAGGTGCTTGATCAACAAAACGGTGTTAACTATTTAATTGGCCATCTTCTCTTAACTAGCGGAACTGTGTTGCAGATTGCTATGTTGAAAAACTCATGTAAAGTTGCACTTAAGGAATTGAAACACTGGATGACTTCAGAAAAGGTATAATTTATGTGAAGTTCTTTCACAAACATTACTTGATATAATTCTTTTGATTTACACGCAAATTTCCCTTTATGCAGGTGAAAACTTCACTCACAACTTTTCCTTCTTCAGCTGAAATAGTATCTGAACCACTAGGTGTTGTGTTGGTCATCTCTGCATGGAACTATCCATTTCGTATGTTAATATTTAGTTGACCTTGTTTAATATGCTTTTGAGCTGTCATATCACCTTTCTCTCTTTTCCAAGTCCTCAAAATGTATAGTGATGATAATATTACATTCTCTATTTGTCTTTCCAGTGTTGTCACTTGATCCAGTCATTGGAGCTATTGCAGCTGGTAATGCTGTGGTTCTAAAACCATCAGAAATTGCTCCTGCGACATCATCCCTTCTGGCAAAACTGTTGGGAGACTACATGGATAACTCATCTGTAAGAGTTGTTGAGGGGGCAGTTGATGAAACATCTGCTTTACTGCAGCAAAAGTGGGACAAAATTTTCTATACAGGTTCTTGTTTGTCACTCTTCTGCTTCCTCAATGGTTTGTAATCCTGAAATGATTTTGTTTTCCTCATCATTAAATTTTTCCTTTTGGTTGGTCTCCTTTTTAAGATGTAAGCTGCATTTGGATACACAAGTTAATCAACCGCTTATTTTATAAGCGCTTTTCAAATGATGGTTTATATCATAAATTTAAACATGAAACTTATTGTAATAAGCTGAAACAACTTATTTTGATAAGTTATATCTAGAAGCTTATTGAAATAAGTTAAAAAGAGTTTATGGGATCTCCCACTAAGGTATTGTCCGAGTCCACCTTCGGTTGCATTGACTGTGCTTGTATCTGTGACGTATTGTTTTAGATTCCTATTGTCAATCTTATATAAAAATTCATTTTGTTATAAATATACAAGGATCTAATGCTAGTTGTTCTTGAATGTTTGCCTGTAAGTTTTATTACAATGATACTTGTGTATTAGAATATTGTTTACTTAAAAAAATAAAAATAATCTTTCGATTTATAGGTAATGGACGAGTGGGACGCATTGTGATGGCAGCTGCTGCAAAACACCTTACCCCGGTTGTGCTTGAGCTTGGAGGAAAATCTCCAGTTGTTGTTGATTCAAATATCAATTTACAGGTATACCTTTGCCCCTCTTATTTTTAACAATTACTTGTTATTACCTGATCTCTTGTACCTCACCTTTGACCTAAGTTAATTTGAATTTGAATTGCAAGGTAGCAACTAGACGAATAATTGCAGGAAAGTGGGGTTGTAATAATGGACAAGCCTGCATTTCTCCCGATTATATTATAACAACAAAAGACTATGCTCCCAAATTGGTAACAAGTTTTTCCTAAGTGTATTTAAATTCTAGATTTGTCTGTTTGTTTAGTATTTAGTTCCTCCTATTTCTAGGTGGATGCTCTTAAGACTGAATTGGAGAAATTTTATGGAAACAATCCATTGGAATCAAAAGATTTGTCCCGTATTGTGAACTCCAACCACTTTGCTCGCTTGACAAAGCTCTTGGATGATGATAAGGTTTCTGGTAAGATTGTTTATGGAGGTGAAAAAAATGAAAGCAAATTGTAAGCTCTCTGTCTTCTTTTTGGAGTATATGTGTGTGAAATCTTGATTTAATGATATATTGATATATAATAGATCTTGACTCTAGCATTTCTCTTTTTCCTCAAATTGCAGGAGGATTAGTCCCACTGTCCTATTGGATGTCCCGCGGGATTCACTAATCATGAGTGAGGAGATATTTGGTCCTTTACTTCCCATTCTTACGGTAGGAATTAAGACACCAGTAGTACACCACAGTAAATGTTTCTGTGAACTTTTCTTCAAATTTTGATTAGTTTCTTTGTGTTGCTTACTTGCTTTTACAATAGTATAATGAAAACAAATTTGCAGAGTTCTTCAAATGGTTTACACTTTACAATCTGCAAGAGTAATTGATGTGTTCTTCATGTGGGAGTCAAAATATCAATTTTCACCTTTAATGTGAAATACAAGATATTGCACTTTTCTATTAAGGCTTTTGGGAGGAAATTTTAATTGTTTATATCACATCCAAAAATCTGATAAATCAATAGCCGGTAATATTTTGAAGACATTTGAAGAAGCCAATTGTTCATCTAACCTGGAAACAGGTGATGGTAAATTGTGAAGTGTTTATAAGTAAATTAAATCCAGAGTGATGAATTATAATGCTTTTCTCTTTTTCCCTTGCTTGACACAGGTCGATAAATTGGAAGAAAGTTTTGATGTGATCAATTCAGGACCAAAGCCTCTTGCGGCATATATATTTACAACCAACAAAAAGCTCAAGGAGCAATTTGTTATGACTGTTTCAGCTGGCGGTTTGGTTGTTAATGACACTACTCTACATGTAATTTTTATATCTATCCTTGAATCTCTGAGCTAGTATGTTCCTCTGTTTGTGGTTCTTATATGCAAACAGTACAGCAGTATAGGTGATTAATCTGCTTCAAGGTTGTGCTTGTTGCCGTCAATTCCTTGTTATGTGATAAATTTTGTTATAGAAGATTAAAGAAAATGACGTGAAAATTATTTCTTAAAGGTATAGTTTTTTCAGATTTCATTTGCTACAGTAAGGAGCATCCTTTGTGAGTCTATTGTCACTCGAAAAATGTTTATTGTCACTCCTTTTTAAATAATTTTTTTATAAATTATTTTTTCATTGGTTAATTAAATTGATAATAATATTATTTAAATAAAAAATATTAAAAATGGAGTGACATTAGACACATAGGAGTGTTAATTTACACTTCCTAAAATTAAGTGTTTTTAGTGCCCCATATCTTTGCTTTTATTGGTTCACGTTGAAATTTGAGTTTCTTTAGATAAAATGTAGATTTTGCATCTATATATGCTCACATTTTATTGTTATTATATAATTTGAAATCTGAACGCTCTTCGTCTGTGTTTCTGTTTACCGTTTGGCCCTGTCACATTGCAGCTTGCAGTTCATACTTTGCCGTTTGGGGGAGTTGGTGAGAGTGGAGTCGGTGCATACCACGGGAAGTTCTCATTTGATACTTTTAGCCACAAAAAAGCAGTTCTTTATCGCAGTTTTATGGGTGACGCATCAATAAGGTACCCTCCGTACACAAATACAAAGATGAGATTGCTGAAAGCTCTCATTGGTGGTGGCATACTTGGTATAATTCGTGCCCTGTTTGGATGGTCCTAGGTTATGATTTTAATTGTCTTGGATTCTTGATGCAATTAATACATTTTTCATTCTGGTTTCCTTGTATTATAATTTCGATTTTTAGTTTTATTTAATACTCAATAACCATGACTTGTGGTTGAGAGTAAATTATGTATTGCTATTTATTTTGGTACGATTATTTTAAGATGCACTATAACTTCCCTACCAGATGCAATACTGGTTGTGTAACAGGTCTCTTGAAAACAGTGTTATTAATAATCAAATTGGAATTGAAGTATGAATTCGTATTTCGTTGGGACCGTTCCTTTCTTCCTGTCTTACTATAAAGCTGCACTAGTTGTTAAACAGGATAACCTGTACAAAGGATTAAATGTGCAAGTTACTGAATTGCGTGGCTTGAGACTGGGGACACAATGCTTTTAAATGTTTTTCATATGCAACCAAAGTAGCTTCAGTATGTATGCTTCTATGAAGTGACCAGAAGCTAATTTTGAGTAAATAAATTTATGACATGTATGCTACTGTTGTTGTGATTCTTATGCTGCCAAGACTACAAATGCAAGTAATCCTTTAGACCCAGATACACTTATTTGATTGAATATAAATCTTTAAAAAAAGAAGAATAAAAATAAGGTGACAATTTTATTAAAAATAAAAGTAGAAAATATTATTATCCTGCGAAGTTCTTGGGATGTTTTGTTGGAAATTCAACTAGAATGATACGTCAAGTTTCCTCCTAATTCTTGGGAAATTGGCACGTGCTACGCTGGTGACCATCTCACAAACAGAATGGATGATATCGTTCCGTGTCCACAATTTTACCACAACAGTGACATTTATATATGGTGGGTGGATTCTAAGATGCACCCTGTATGTATAGTTTGGTGCATCCATTCTTGCTCACAATAATGTTATCATAACATTGTTTAGATTTTCTCTGGCCATCTACTGCGCATGGCTCAAACCTTGCAGCAATATATCGTTGTCTGATAAAGAAAGCTTCTGAAAGAAACTTCCTCTCATCAGAATTTTAACAACGTGATCACTTTTACTTCCAACAATATATCATTGGATGATCCATAGGGGATTTACTTTCCCAACCTTGTTTAAGGATAGTTATCTCTTTTTTGAAGTTTTATTTATTCAACCGCTAGCCTTTAATAACTTCAACCGTACCTTTCTCAGGTGTAGAAAATTGGTCCTGTTAGCATGCACTGCTCTTTTTATTTAGAATACCTGTAGGTAGATACTTGATTATAAAATTTCTTGTTAAATGAATTTTTCTAGTAACATTTAATATCACTAATACATTGAATTGCATTAAATTCTGTAATTTTTAATAAAAATTTGTTATACATAACTTATTATTTTGTATAATATTGTAAATATTAGAAAAATCTTTTATTTTAAAAAGGTGTTTAGAAGAATTTATAAAACTAATTTATAAGTCTTATAATTTTTTTCAACTTATTTTAACAAGGGTTTTTCTAACTATATTGCATAGGATAATAAGTTATATATGCTAAATTTTTATTAAAAATTATAGAATTTAATGCATTAATAATTTTAAATGTTACAACTCTATATAAGTTTACCATTTATCTTATTATCTTTTGTAATATTGCATAAATTAAAATTTTTTTAAAGAAGTTCATAACTCATGGGTGAAAAGAGGTAAAAAAATGAAAACAAACTTTAAATTGAAACTTATATTCTACTGTGTATATGCGAAACTCAAATTTCATGATTACATGTTACTTTGGAAATTATGTCAATCACCGCTTTTTTACAAAAGAAAAAAGAAAAAATAAAAGAATAATTCTTAAATTAATACTAAATCCAAAACTTTTAGATTATTTTGTCGCATCATATTAAATATCGCACCTATAAAAAGTATAGTTTTTTATTTATTTTTTAAAACAAGTATCATATCTTGCAGCATGATAATTTTTTATTATATTTTTAAAGAATTAACCCCCAAAGGGCCAATATTCTTTTTAAAAAAACAAGACAGCTTGATGTGGGTTCCTGCTCCACCCAGAGCAGCTAAACAGGTAATCTTTTTTCTCCTCTGAAGAGCCCATGAATTCCTTCTGGAAAGAGTGGATGACAACTCCTATTAATCTTGAGCTTTGAGATCCACTCTTTCCTATTAAGAATTTGTTTTGTTTTGTTCTTTTTTGCAAATGAGCCTAAAAGGAGGAATATGTTACAAAAATTTTGGTCACAATAATATAATTTTAATAGGATTTTACAACTCACATGAAGAAAAAACTACCAGTCTTAGAGAAAAAAGACTGAAGAATTTTTATTTAAAATAGTGATAATTTATAAAATTAATGTATTTTTAAAAATTATTTTTGAAAATATTTTCTATTTGAGATTATTTTCCGAAATACACAAATTTATAAATATAGTAAGAAGACGATTTCAGAGAAACCGACTTTCCAATTCAATTTTATTTTTAACACTGGGGTTATGATGTTGGTTTTTCAGCTCTGAAACTAATTTCCCAGCACTGTAATTTTTTTTTCTTCAAACTACATTGCAAAGTTCGTTCTCCCCAAAATCGATTTCTTAATGAGTTTTTTCAAATAACATTTTGTTTAAAATTTTAAAATAAAACATGAATATAAAATTAATCATTATTTATTTTAAAATAAAAATAAGTGATAATATTATTATTAGATATAAATATAAGAATTATTATTATTATTATTATTAATATTATTATATAAAAATGAAAAATTATTGAAAAGAAATAAAATATCTAAAAATATTGTGATGTAAATTTACTTTATTAATTAATAAACTAAAATACTTTACAATGAAACTTATAATTTTAAGTAACAAAGTTTATGATACAGTACTACATAAAAAAAAAAATTTTACCAAATTATTTTACTTCATTAACATTGTGAGTTTTTTTAAAGGTACTACCACGACGAGGATATTTATGACATATAGTTTTACATAAGTTACAATATTTGGTTGACTTGTCTTCCTTAAATATATTATACATCTCAATCCAAATGTGTGACACTCACTTATTCAAAAAGGGTTGTGTATTGACAAGATCCAAAATGTCTCCCGTTTGCGAGGAAATTGGACATCTAGTCGATATGTTGTTTAAGTGAACCATTTTTGCTTAAGCAAATATATGTAATTTTTGCTTAAGCGCGTTACAAAATGGCTTGAGCAAATTTTTCTCTAAGAAAAGGAAGATATTTAAACTATTCACTTCAGCAAAAATAATTGGTTTAAATGAAACATAGCTTAAGAAAAAATAATAGACTTAAGTGAAAAATTGACAAAGAACTATAATTTTCAAACATGCATCACGCTTAAGCAAATAAAACTAGGTTAAGCGCATCCTTAGTTCGTTTAGGCAATTTATAATAGCTTAAATAAAAACTGGACAGAGAGCATCCATTTTCAGCGTTTGAATTTGTTTAAACGACTAAAAATAGCTTAAGCTAAAGCATTATTCGCTTAAGCAATTATAAATAGTTTCAGCAAAAATTGGACACAGATCACCAATTTTTAGAGTTTATATTCGCTTAAGCATGATGAAAATAGCTTAAGCGAATAATATTAGCTTAAACAAAAGTTAGAAGGTTTAAGCAAATCTTGTAGAATTTGGAAAAAGGAAAGCATATAAAAAAGTAATCATTAAAGCAAAACATAACAGAAGTAAATGCAATATATTATATTCATCAGATAATGTTAGAAATTGCATGTACAAGGGCAATTACATATGATTACAATGAACATTGTACAAGAGTTTGGAACACATATCTCATGGCCTAGAGACACCCCTCCATTCCTAAATCAACCCAACCAATGTGAAGTGTTTCCTACACATTAACAAGGGTAACCAAGAGTTGATGAAGGGGTCACAAAAGAGCCTTAAGAGGAGGAACAAAGTGAAGAGGCAAAGGGTCATCAAGAGCAGCATAGCATGGAGCAAGGAGGTCAAATGCGTGATGATGTTGTTGAAGAATAACCATTTCTTTTGTTTTTTAGTTTCCTTGTTTCATTAGGTATATATAACTTGATGTTTAATTTAGTTTCTTTTCCAATGTTTTTTGTTTCAAGGAATCTATTATAAACAATTTGATGTTTGAAATTTCCATTTATAATATAAAAATATCATTATCTCTTCAATTTGACTGCATTTACTTTTGTTATATTATAGCCTTGATGACCAATTTCTAATATGTTTTTTTTTTTTTTTCAAATTCTGCAATATTCACTTAAGTCATCCAACTTAAGCTTAAGCTAACATTATTCGCTTAAGCTATTTTAGGTTCGCTTAAGTTATTATAAATTGCTTAAGCAAATCTGATCTTTGAAAATGAGTGTTCTCTATTCACTTTTTGCTTAAACTATTATAAATCGCTTAAACGAACTAAGAATTCACTTAAACTAGTTTTATTCATTTAAGTATGATACATTTTTTAAAATTATAACTTTCTGTCTATTTTTACTTAAGCGAATAGTTTAAATGTCTTCCTTTTATTTGAGCAAAATTTACTTAAACCATTTTGTGACGCGGTTAAACGAAAATTACATATATTCACTTAAGCAAAAAAATAAAATAGACGTCCAATTTTTACACAAACTAGAGACAATCCGGATCCGTATTACCCAAAACAAAAAATAGTCATGTGCTGTAGGCCAATTTTTGCCAAGCATGAAATATATAATTTGGTATATCAATGAGTCACGACCCATTTTATCACCACCAATACACTTCCAAGAACCATGCAGTGCGCCTTTTTCAGATGTTATCTAGTTTGCCAATGTTACTCCACATTTGTAGACGTATCGCTGTGAAGCCTACCATGCAACAAACACTACATGACTTGTTCCAATATATAATGATTTAAAATATTAATTTTGTAATTTAAAAGATACAAATTATAGTATATTATTTTTATCTATCAAGGAGTGAAGTTAGATATATGTACCATCTACTAAATTATTAGATTCTTTTGTTATTCTTTTTGTAGTATAAATACAAGACGGAGATAATAGATAAATATTCTTTTTCTAATGAATTAAAGAATATATATATATATATATATATATATATATATATATATTTATAATAGGAAAATAATTACTTAACTCACGGTATTAGACCAAAAACCTTCTTACTTAATCCATCACAACATTATTCTTACTGAAGCCTAATAATAATAATAATATATTTGTTAATTGATCTTATATAAATTTAATAAATAATATTATATTTGATATTAATAATTTAAAATATATA